GGCAGTTTTCTCAAAAAATGCTTGAATTCAAGAAGTTTTAGATTTGCGTGGTTTTTTTTTAGTTGTAAAATCCACTTGAACATGACGCTGTTTTTTTAGAAGTTTCTCAAGAACCATTTGAGCCACATAATTCGTTTTGGCATCGTTGAATAGAGAATTGAAAAGTCGATTCAGTCGTAACAACGTGGGTGAGGAAATTCGGGTAGTTTTGACCCAGATAGCGAAATTTGAATATCAGCCACTTAGGTGCAAGATTATGCCAACATTTCATGTTTTCCATCCGGTTTTTGCTCATTTCTCGGCGGCAAAATGAGCAAGAACGCTCATTTGTACATCATTCTAGACAGAAATAAATGGCCTTTTCAGAAAGTAAACCATGGATGGGGAGATGTTGCCAGTTTTCTCAAAAAATGCTTAAATTCAAGAAGTTTTAGATTTGCGCGGTTTTCCTTGAGTTGCAAAATCCACTTGAATATGACGCTGCTTTTTTTGAAGTTTCTCAAGAGCCGTTCGAGCCAGAGAATTCGTTTAGGCAACGTTGGATAGAGAATTAAATGGGGGGGGGGGATCATGAGCCCCCCATGACCCCCCAATGCCAGTTAAAGGTGTTCAGCATTGTTTCGCGTAATTTAGTTTAGCTTTTATTAGGTGCATTTATTTCAAAACAAGCAATCTTTGCTTCGCACATCTGAAGTATTTTCAATTCCTTGTTCCTCAACTGCTCCGACTACATTTTTCTCCACTATTTTATTGCTTTTCTCTGTTGATTTCAATTTTTTTTTCAAGCCATATAAGACTTTTTGTGGATGCAGTGGTGAAACTGTTCTTTCTGTCGTTTGTTCATTTGCAGTTTTTTTCGTTCAAATCATTTAGGTTTGTTTTGCAAATAGCAAAAATAGCTCTTACTCATGCGTTTTCGCCCGTTGTTCTAAACCTTCTTCTAGGTTTATTTCTGATCACTTCTTRAAGTTGCCTTTTTTATTTTTTTACCTAATTTATTTTTGCTYYCCAAATKATTTCCCCTRGTGCGCCTAAAGTGGTRAGTTCGTCGTTYTTGTTCACCTTTTGCTGGACAACGAGTTTTACTTCGGTKTCTGTTCCGGGTTTTGTTGGCTCWTGTCTTTTTATACAGTGCCGTTTCATGATTAKTGACTGGCGTTGCTTCATTCTWTYKACAYATTTTTTTGWTMTTCAATTGAGTACATTTTCTTACGTGTTTTATAATTGTGCAGATGCAGATTTKAAACTCAATATAAAATTGMGGTGTTAMTTTTTTTAARTRYCTATTATTTCATCCTAATTGTTTATTGGGCTCAAAGACCTTTACTTGTAGGAAGCATTGGATGGGTGCCTAAAGAAGAAGATATTCTGTACGCAAGCTACCGAGTAAACAAGAAATCCTGGTATAGGAGTCACTTGCAAWTTGACCCCGCATAGAACGCAACGTTTCCAGCTAGTAAATCAGTGATTTCTAAACACACCCGACGCAGGGAAAACGATTTTTTGTCGCGACAAAGTCACCGATCTTCTACCCATAAAATCTCTCCCTCGCTGTCATTGAAAAATTAATAAATGATCCAACATCCTCCAAAGAGCCATCACGGGCCGGAATTATTGATACGTCATGATCGTCTTTTTAGGTCCGAGTTTGAGGGGAATAAGCCGGGAACCGGAAGTTGGCACGCTTATGGGCCATTGTAGCCGCGCTTAATGGCCGATATTAACTCCTATTCGAGGGCTTTTTTTAGATCTCTCTATTTTCTATTACGGTGATTTATCGCAATATTCACTCACGAATCGTCATAGTTTTGGATGCATAATGCAGCAGTCTGAGCCGCTACCGGTTGCAGCTAATCATTAACACGTCCTGCTTATTAAATTGCCAATAATTAGTCGATCAATTATTGATGGCGATCAATAAATCTTGATTGTTGATTTTATTGATGACTATGCATGTGGAACATGGAATGCCGCAGCATTTTAAAGCGTAAATCGCTGATTTATTGCGGAGCAAATATGCAACTGATCACGATGCGTTGCCACACCAATAAAATAGTGTTCAATCGGGTCTAATAAATACGGGAGCCATATTTTCGGTTCTGCAGTCGCCAGTGTTGGTTGGCCGCTTCACGTTTCGTGAAAATCACGTCTTCCACCAATCGTGACCGGCCCAAGTATGGATTTCCCTTGGGTTTACACGACAACGTTCATATTTTGCACACCGTTGGGCTATTGTTGCTGCAAATAGTTTCTAGGTTTCACCAAAAAAAACCCATTCAAGTACTTGGGACTACCTCAAAACACTCCCGAACCCGAAAGGTTAAAAATGCTGCCGTTTCCGTTGCGGCTCGACACCTAATTTCAATTTAAATGTTTGGTGTATTCAAATAGTCGTCGGTTATTAATGGACAAGTTCCGCGGTATTCCCATAAGCCGCCTCGGCCCATTCGAAAATCGTCGCCCCATTAGCATGACGGGGTGTCAGAACGATAACAATCGATTTTTTAATTCCCGCTTTATAAAATCAGCAGACAGACCAACAATGAGGTCCAGAAATAATAACTTGCCGATCCCGATAAATTATTTATGGTTTATGGTAAGTGCGCGCTGTCTGTCACCCAGTTTTCGAGACATCGAGAGGTTTATTTCTGTCCGAATTTCGAGTTTTCGCTATTAGTTTCGAACGAAGAATAATCGACCGTGATCGCCTATCGTCGCATTAGGACGGTCACTTCACCGATTTCAATTTCAAATTTTCCAAAATTTATGGACACTTCTGCAGGAAACTTTCGGCTCATTTCAAATGCCGACTGTTGGCTGTCGGCAGGCAAATTGTCCAGCCGATATCAGCTGAAACTCAATTAATCACTTCGGGCGACGCATGGAAAAATCCATCAATGGTTTCAAAAGGCACGTCGAACACTCAGACTGGAACTGAAGATTAGCCAAATTAATAATCTAAAGATAATGGACAGATTCAGAATATTTATGCAATATTTTTTGCCTTAGAGACCCACTTTTTAACGCTTTATTTCCACCGTGTTCAAAGCTACCTATACATACAAACCAACTAAATAAAATTTGCTTTTCTACTCGCTACGCCAATTAGTTTGATTTGAGCTGAAAACAGCCGGTAACTCAAATCAGTTTTTGCATTTTCCAAAGCAAATAAAGCGGTTCTTATGCTAGTAATTGCCACCTTTACAGCGACAAATGCTAATCAGTGTAATTTAAATGCCAGAATATACTGTTAAGTCCGCATTCACCGCACAAATTCGCTAAGTACTCACTTATCAATTTAATTATACCGGGCGATTCAAAACGGGCCCAAACAGAATGTAGAAAAATTTGCGACTTCATAAAACTTATCGCTAAAAACTCAAATATTGGGAACAAACGAGATTATAAAGCTGACAACAATGCACTTGATTAATTACGTAAATACCTGTGAGTTATATCTGTTGAGTAAAAATCTCAATAATACATACAGGGTGGCTCGAAATTGGCGTAATTCATCTGGCGGTATAACTAAAGAACTT